TTGAGGCCCCCAATGTTGTTGAGTCGGCCCTGTATATAATATATCAAATAATATATTTCTTTAAAAATTATTTAGAAAAAGTTTTTTATAAGACACATTCAATCCAGTTTTTACATTGGCTGAATTAAGTGGGCCGATAAAATGGGTTGATTAGTTAAAAAAATTAATTAGTGAATAATTAATATTAGAAAATAATGTTAATTATTTAAAATATTTTGTGAAATTATACTAGATGATTATTTTTGTAATCATATACAATCTATAAAGTGACCTAGAAAATTCTATACACTAGCGAAAATAAAACAAATATTTTAATCTTTAAAAAAGTTTTGTATTCTCCATTAGTAGAATATTAACACTGAAATCTTTTTAACTTGAATGGAGGAGAGATATTTAATTAAGTAATGATTCTTAAGATATTTATTAGTTCAATTGATCGAATAGCGAAACGACACGTTTAAATTGCAATCATTTGAGGGTTAATCAAAGGATTAATTAATTTGGTATGATCTTTGGATTTGGGGTGGTGGAAAAGAAGATTTCATTAAGATGAAAAAAGTCCAAAAGATTGCCAATCCAAATAAAGAGTTAAAAAATTTGCAGTCAATATTTTGGACTCCAATCAGTTTTCACCATTTTGCACAATCACATTTCCATATTTTATTAAAAGAAAATGATGGTAGAGTGGCAGTGCAATTATTATTCTGAAGTATTTCTTATTTCTGAAGGGCTGTCTTTAGTCTCATCATAAAGCTAGAATGATAGATAATATTGATTTTAGGGGAAATACATAATTACCCCATTCAATTATAACACTTTTTTAAAAAAAACACTCAAACTTTATAAGGGTCCTAGTATCCCACTAAATAATTTAAAAGTGATATAAATATTTCATCTTTCAATTAATCCCACTTATAAAAAAGAAGGTGTAAGCACGCACTAATTATAGTTTGCCACCTGTCAATTTTTATATAATTTCCTAATCTTTGTTTTTATTTATGTTTTTTTTTTTAGTTTTAATTCTTTATTTTTTCTTTCTTCGCTTAACCCATCCGTTGGTCTTCTTCGTTGTGGAGTGGCCGTCATTGCTACAACACCATTTACAACACTAAATCAAAATTAAAACTGGAAAATCAAATCCGCTTTCAAAATTTATTGTTTTCAAATTAAAATTTCTATCAAAGTCTTCTTTTTATGTGTTTTGCCTATGATTTTTGCTCTAAATCAACTTGGGTTGTATTTGAAAAAAAACATTGAAATAACGCCGACGACTCTATCTTCGAAGTTGCCATCATCTTTCCAGAGATTCTCACCCCAGACAGTCAAGAAGGAGAAGAAGAAATACGAGGATGAAACAACAAATCTGTTGTTGCTTCCGTTATCAATGGGATTTTTTTATCAGTGAAAAGGCATTTTATTTTATGTACTGAGATTGTGTTATTTAGTTACAATTAAATCTCTCTGTCGAAATCCAATCTAAATGAAAAACGAGAAGAGAGCAAAAAAAAAGAAAAAAAAAACTTCAAGCTCCTTCAATGGTGAAGCTCGGGAAGGAGAAGAAAAAAAAATTAATAGTAAAATAATATATAATTAATAAAAAATATTGCAAAAGAAAAGTTTAATCTTACTTTTTTTGATTTCCACGCTCTTCAGGCGAGTGATATACACTCTCTCTATAAAATATCGAAAAATGGTTCAATAATTTCACATTAATCTAGTTAAGTGGTGTATTAGGACCCCCGCAAAGTTTAAGTGTCTTTTTCAAAAATAGATCTTACTTTAATGGGGTAATTATGTATTTTCTCTTGATTTTATAATGTCTCTTACTTTCTTTTGATAATCATGATGTCTGAGTCAGTTTACGCATATCTTGATTAGTTTTGTGTAATATATATCATTTCTCATCAGCAATAAGTATCATGTAACTCTATTCACTAAGACTAAGACAGATGAAAAAAAATTACCAATGTGTTTTTTGCTTTGTTGAAATTTAACTCACTCACTTTAAAATTCCAATACAAGCATATATATTTTTCTGTTACTATGTCATTCCAAATAAAAAGCATTCGTATGCATTAAATTGTTTTTTTTTTTATTTAAAAAGAACATCATACTATAAACTACAAAACCTATAAGTTTAGGATTGTGACAATTCCTTGAAAGAGATGGGCCTATTTTCCCTCAAAGTTGAGACTCTAAATTCCTTCTTTTATGAAACATTATTGCCTCTATGATGGTACTACATAAAATTTGAACTTAGCTTCCTTTGTAGGGCATTTATTATTGGTCTAAATTGATCCATTTTCAAATTTGATGTAAACAACACACTTATTATAAACTTATATGATTCCCTACTTATTAGGCACATCTACATTAGTCCAATTTTTTTTTTAAAAATACTTAGTTTATCATTCGTCGATTTTACCATGTTTTCGCTATATTAGTTTGATCTGAAAAAAATTTAAGCATCCATAGTTACCTTATATGGATGTAGGTCTTTAACTTAATTATTGATATTCTCCCTATTAATGTGTGTCAGATTGTACCAATTAATACAATTTAATGTTATAAACATTGTATGTATTTGTTCCACTATAAAAATAAATAAATCGCTAGAAACATATATAAATGTATCATTCGGTCATCTAATTTATTAACATGGTCGAAGTATTGATATATTTTGATTGTATATATAATTTGGCTATGGAGCGCAAATAGCAAAAATGTAGCCAAAGAGTGCTAATATGATTTTTATCTTTGCTACTAAAATTTACTCTAATATATAATCATAATAAAGAAAAGTAGTAATTATTATTAGGTATTGAAAATTTATAAAAGAGCAAATAAAGCAATTAAAAATCTTAGTAAGAATGGAGCGGTTTAGATTATGACTCGCATTTTAATCCATTTCAGTCCAAGTAGCTTTTGGGTGGGTCAATAACCCACTCATATATTAATTCAACTCATTTTGACTTCCCCAAATTCAATCTAACCCATCTAATGGCATCTCGATACACTAACGATACATGGTATACATATTTTGTGAACTAGATCACACAAAGGTATTGACCCGTACTGGAGTAATTGCAAAAGAATCTGGGCTTTTATTAGTTCTAGGGCTCTGAACTTGGGCCTCGTAATAGTTGCAATTGAACTCTTTGTTGATTGTGTGGCTTCTTTGTCTGTTATTGAGTACTGGGCTTTTATTAGTTCTTGGGCTTTGAACATGTAACAAATATGTATTATGGGCCGTTAATGGGCTCGCCGTTTTCTATTTTGAAAAAACTGTTTTGTGGGCCAAAATTCAGTACATCCACAATCTTAAGATGGGCCAACCTGAAGGATGTATCAGATTCACCTGTCTGTTGGTAGAATTCATTTTTTTAAATATTTTTTCCATATTTTTTTATGTCAATTTGCATGGAGAATGAATAGGGGGAATTCACAAATAACCAATTTTCAACCCGAGTAATTATAATCATGGAGTTTTATTCGTAAGAGTCGAGTTGAAATTGAAGAATTGAAAAGTGGGTAACCCTCGGTATTATATGGTAGAATAATACACCTAAGAGTGGTAAAATCTTTATTTATTAATTACATAGATGTCTCGAATTTGAATCAGCTAATAACATTTCGTAAAGAAAATTGTAGGTTAATGGGTGATTGTAGCTGTGACACTACAACTATGCTGCCAGGACTAAAAAATGAGAATGAGATTTTATAAATTTCGAAAAGCAAAAAAGGAAGGGACAAGCCTAAGACAATGAAATTAAAATATTTAAAAGTTTTCTTCAGCTTTTAGAAAAGTAATTTAGCATATTAAGACCTTATAATTCCATAAAATGAGAATCTTTTTTGATCCCAAAAAAAAATAAAAAAATTAACTGGACCATATGGTACACAAAAAAGTAAGAAAAAGTAGAATAGGGCCCAAAAAACCAGCTAATTTTACCACTCGCATTACTCGTCAGAGTTTGCACTTTTAATTTGCCTTTTGCTCTGCCCAACCCTTTTTACTTTTTCTTTGTGCTCCTTCATTTTTCAAGTGTTATGATCGATTTTGTAAGTATTCTAATTAATTTCATAAGCTATTGGAGTATGTTATTTTTCACTAATAAAAGTATCAGATAGCTTCGTTCACTAATATTTGAACATATAAGAATAAATCGCTTACTATTTTTATTTCAATTAAAATTTGAACTTAAAAATAATAATTCTCAACTCAATATATTAATCATTAGGCGACAACCTAGGGCACATTTTTCTTTTTTCTTTTAAACTTTTTTTAACCCCACCACTGAAAAGAAAAACCTCAATGAATCTTATATTGTCTAGTTGGAATTATATTTGTAGCATTTTTATTATTATACTTAGGTTTTTCTAATACACATTAATCTTTTAGAATATTTGTTGTAAATGGTGCTAATTAAAAGGTTTTTTGTGGAGTGGAAAAGTTCAACAGGAATGTGAAGAGAGAGAAACAAAAGTTACAACACTTTACATTTCCGAAGATATATTAGGTTTATACTTGTAAGATTTATTCACTCAGTTTCAATTTATTTATCACGCTTTTTCTTAAAGATTATTTTAATATTTTTTTTATCTCTTTAATTCTAACATTTCATGTGACAGGTTTACATTACAGTGTTAAAGAACATGTTGATACTTCTATGCAACTTTAATTTAACTCCATAAAATTAATAAGAAAAACTTTATTTTTTTAAAAACTCCGTGTCAAACAAATTGAAACGGAATAAGTTTTTTCCACCGATATATATACTAAAAATACGGCTTTAAGTAAGTGGTTATACTAAAAACTTCTTGTTGTTAGAGTCAAATCAAATTAAAATATGAGAAATGCATATAACTAAAATTTGTTAGATTTGGTCATATCCAAGAAAAAAATTCGCCTTGATACAAGTCATCCGTTGTAACAATAAATATTTTATTTACATGTCATATTATATATGTACAACTCCAATAGACTAAAAAGAGTTTATTTAATTTGCTGCCAAATATATTCCCTTGTTTTTCTATATATTAGACCTCCAAACTCACAAAACAAAGAATGCTCCTTTCATAACCAAAATATGATTATAAACAACCAAAATCTCTAATTTTCTCTAAATGAAGGAATTTGGGTATAAAGAGCTTGAAAAAGCCACAGAAAATTTCTCACAATCAAGACTCATTGGTAAAGGAAGTCATGGATGTGTATACAAAGGCATATTAGATGAAGGTAAGAATATCATAGCCATAAAGAAACAATCATTGGGTCTTCAAAAAATTCAAGACAACTCCAAACTCGAAAACGAAGTAAGTATTTTATCGTCTTTGCCTGAAAACTCTTTCATCGTTAACTTTCTTGGAACGAGTCATCATTATCATGACGATGACGACTCGTGCAAGAATGAAACTTTTCTCATCATGGAATACTTGCCAAATGGCACCCTTTATCAAATGCTTCATGCAAAAAATAATATCCTTCCTAATTGGCCCAAACGTGCTCAAATAGCCATTCAAGTTGCTAAAGCAATCCAATTTCTTCACCAAACTAAGCCTAATTCAATTGTTCATAGAGATATAAAGTCAGCCAATATTTTGTTTGATTCAAATTGGAATGCTAAGTTGGCTGATCTTGGACTTGCTTTAAGGATGAAAAATGATCATCAGGACGAGTCACCGAGTCATAGTTCTAACTCGGTGACTCGTCCTGCTGGTACGATCGGATATCTAGATCCTGATTACACAAAACCAAGCAAATTAAGCACGAAAAACGACGTGTTTAGTTTCGGGGTCCTACTATTTGAAATTATGTCTTCAAGAAAGGCGATCGATGTATCGAAATCGCCTGTTTCTATAGTTGATTGGGCAACAAAATTAATTAAAGAGGGACAAAGTTTGGAAATTTGTGACAAAAGAATGCATGTACCATGGTACATGGAGGCCACGATAAAGAACATGTTAAGCATAGCCACACGTTGTGTCTCTCCAAAGAAAATAACAAGACCAACAATTGAAGAAATTGTGATGGAAATGGAGAATGTGATAATTGAGCCAATTAAGTATCCTTTATGGAATATATTACGAGGCCTAACACTTTTGAGAAGGAAAAGAAAAAGATGTAGAAAAAATTGTTGTATTATTACTACAAATAATGTTACCAAGACATGTGCGCAACATGAAAGGAAGTTATTGATTAGGGAAATATTGGCAGATAAAGTCACGGAGTAGATGCAGAGGCGAATTCAGAATATTGATCGGGTTCAATTTTTGTGTTCTATTGAATCATGAGCTACATTCACCTATGATTTGATGAATGATGATGAGGATAACTAAGTGATTGTTATTTCTATATTACGGTAACAATGCCTTTATCGAAGCAGAATAAGTCTAATACGGGTGAGTGGATTACAACTCGGAGCAGTCAATAATGAGGCTTTTTAGGGGCATGCATTGCCAAACACAAGATTCCAAAAGTAGGTAGAAGTAGAATTATTTATCAAAGATATTGTAATTTACTACTTATTTTGTATGGTTTTTTTCCTATAAATGACGTGTTATTCTTTGGTGTCGTTACGCTTTTATCTATGGCTTTTTGGGGAACTCTTAGTGAAATATACATAAATTCTCCAACATTTGCATTGGGAGAATGTTTTGACCAGAATGTTTGTAGTTTGATTTTGCTACTCACGTTTCTGAAACAACTATATTTGTCATATTTCCTTATTTGTTTGAGGCAGAAGATCTATCGAAAATAGTCTCTCACTCTATAGAGATAAAGTTTTATTTACGTTAGACCCCACTTATGAGTATGATATTGTTTTTGTTGCTTACCTACTCCAGCTATACTTCTTTTAAGAGATTAACGTTTCATTAACATTCTAATTTGTTATATTTACTCAAATTTAATTCTATCACGTAACATCATAAAAGAAGTGCACAGCACTTAGAATTTTCAATTAGTGAAAAGTTTGGATTAGACAAAATTTCTTCGTACTCCAATATGACTCATCATAATCCCCTAATGTTTTGTATTTTTCTGCTCGTGTCAATATCTAGTCGTATCGTGTTGTCTAGTCTGTGTTCATGCAACAACAGGAATTTTATTTTATTTTTCAAAATAAAAATTAGTTAGGATTTATGGGGGAGATTGAGAATCATACTGTGTTACATTTCACAAAAGTCTGTCTAAAAAGAAAATGACTTTATTCTGTAGATGTATTATATTATTGTTTCGAAAGATTTGTGTGATCTTTGTCAATTGTAAACAAAATGAACCGTACGTGTAAAGGTGGTAAAGGAATATCGACTCTAATGAATAAACTAGTACATGTGATTAAACAAGCATGATAGATACCCTTATCTCAATTAAAGAAGATAAAATATTGTCAAATCAACCTATAGGATAAGTAACGCCTAATCTTATTTTTCTCAGCGATAGTACGTATCGTCTTCAACATTCAAATAGCAACCAAGTGGATGCGTACTTAAGCTATCAAAGCATGCCAGAAAAAGAAGTAAGAATGGAGAACTTAAACAAAAAATTAAAAAAAAACTGTTCCAGAAAGGAAATAGTGAGACTTGTCAACCAAGTATTAGAGAGTGCCGGAAATAGGTAGGATCATTACTTAAGAGGGCAGTTTCAACCAAGTATTAGATGATCCTCCCTGATGGGAAAACAAAATTGGAAGTCACAAAAATAACTTGTTTAAAATATCACAAACTCAACTCTAATGCAAGCAAGTACAGATAAATATAGAAAAACATAGCCTCAGGGGATCCTCTAGCTCCATTAGTCCTAAAGCTCCATTTCCAATTTCTATCTAATGAGACTTCACATACTCTTGGACGATATGGAGACCCTCGGTCTCTTCACCGTAATCCTGAAGAACAATCACAAAATTTATTATGATGTATACAAGCTGTAGTGGGCAACTTATCATGTACTGTTTACGCAAATGCAAAAATAAAGGATGTGTACCTTCACAACAACACAGCCACAACCAACAACCTTCCTTGCTTTACCTTCAGAATCAATCTTACATAACTGTAAAAGAAAAAAGATTATAGTCAACGAGTAGTTAAATTTTAATTTACATCATACACTTCAATAAACATGGTTAATAATCAGAATAACCAACAAAGTTAATAATCAGAATCCTCTGGTGCCATATATACCATGTGAAAAAGCATAGGTACATTATTAAGCAGCTAATCAGGTACGGTGAAGACCGAGGAACCTTAAATTCCACAACTAAAGTTTCATGAATTACTTACACCAGCCCATTCGCCAAGAGTCTTTGCATTGGGAACTGTAATCAAACTGACATTGTGATCAGCACAAAGTCCTTTCACCAGTTTGACATAATCTGGCTGATCACAGTCCTCTGCTAGCACACAAAGCTGTGCAGCATGCTTCTCAATGACCTTAGCACCTTCATGAAGTCCTCGAGCAAGCCCTCCATGAGCTTTAGACTTCCTGAGCACCAGCTGTAGAGCAGTCATGATATCCATGGGCTCTCCAAGTGCTGGAGCAGGAGTCTCAACAGCGGGAACAGCAACAGCAGCATCCTCTCTGCAAGTATACAAATGTCAGATAAAGTACACCTTATATCAAAGGTTCAAGATAGACACATATCAATGGCCATATTGGCACAGCAACAATTACCATCCATAGGCACATAACAATGGTATAAAAGATAATTCCACATGAATCACAAACATCAATACAGAATGTTGTAAAAGGTTTCCCTGTAATGGAGTACAGGACCATCACAGCAAATAGTAAACTTAATCTAAATATGCAATCTCTAATCTAGCCAACTTTTTATGATTGATTTTGTCTACATCCAGATAACATAAACAATGTCCACACAGCTATAAGTTTTACAATATATAAGCAGAATTAAAACACTCATCTAGGGTAATGAATTTCATTACGCTTCGACATATTAACAAATCAGTATTGGATAGTTTTATTAGTTGGTTTCATACGAAGTCATTAAAATAACTAGTCTGATTACAGGGAATGTTTTGGTTCTAGTTTCATGAAATCTAGAGACAATAAATTTGCACATTACACTTACCTAAAAACTATTCATTATAGGACAACCAAATCATCAAACAGTTAAAGATTTATCACAGGTCTAGATCACTACAAACCAAAAAGATAACAACTTTAAAACCAGAAAGAATCAAGGAAACAGAATTTTAACAAGAGATCTTAAAAATGGCAAATGGCAACACTTACCCAGACATTTTTTCTTTCTTGATAAAGGTTAAAACCCACAAAACCCAGCAACCTGTTGTTTCCAAAAAGTCGAACACGAAACTCAGTCAGGTAAATAGAATCAATAACAGACTCCATAAACCCTCATACTAAATATATCGTGTCAACTCATCCAAAATTGAACCACCCCCAATAAAATTTTTTAAAAGATTGATTTCACAATAGTGTAAAAAGATCCATTAAACTTCCCAGACACTAAAGAAAATACCAAAATCATGGGTTTACAGTTCAGTTTAGAAAAAAAGGGCTTCTAACCTTCAAGATTTTACAGACGAAGCAACTGCTCTGAGAGGCTGCAGTAGAGGCAAAGGGGGCGTTAGGGAAGAAGAGATGAAAAAAGTTTATATATATATATATATATATGAGGATCTAAACGGCAGCCCTAAAAAAGCCCTGTAGTTTAACTTTATTGGGCTCTCTTAGTTGGGCCCAAAAAAGAAAGCATTCCTATTCAACCTCTTTGTACACTAAGTTGGGCCCAAAAAAGCATTCTTTTGGGATATATATTGGGTCCAAAAAGTCCTATTACTAATTTATGTATTTTTCAACTTACTATTATTGATTCAATCAAGGGAAAAAAACATACATATACTTGGGGGTGTTCATGGGGCGGTTTGTCAAAATCAAAATTAAATTAAATTAATTAGTTTTTAAATTATTAAAATCAAATTAAATACAATATACATTAATTGATTTGGTTGTTATCGGTTTCGTTCCGGTTTGGTTCAATTAATCAGTTATTAACCATACACAAAAAAAAAGATTCAATTATAAGAGGAAAAAAAAGACAACAATTCATTCAGAACAAAAAATTGTTAGAATAACTAACAGTACAGAAGTTTCATTCACTTAATTTACTATGAATAAAGCTTCAAAATTCACTATTTGTCTTATATACATGAACCAATAAGATAAATGTTTTCGTCTTAAGCGTTTTTACTTTCATAAATAAATGACAAAAAAAAATTGTTGAAAACATATAGAGGATATTTAAAATTATTTATAAAAATAATATATTATGCATGTATAATAATAAAAATATATGTATAGAATTTATCGATTTGGTACTGTTCTTTCTTCATTTTATTGAACATAATCAAACCAAACTAAATATTATCAGTATTTTAAAATCTTAAACTAAACCAAACCCTAACTCATATAAAATCAATTTATTTTCGATTTGGCTTGATTTATCGATTTGAGTCGGTATTTATTCAAACCATGAACACCCATGCATATACTATTTAAGGATCAATATGATAGTTTCTTCTAAAACCTAACAAATAAGGTAAGAAATTTAAACAAATAAAAAAACACGGTAAAAAATAACAATAATTAAATGTATGACGTAGATTATTGATACTTTTCCTTTATTTTTTCTCAGTTTATTTTTCAACATATACGATTTTGTTTTTTCGCTTTACATAGTATTTATTTTTTTTGTCTCATTAACATCATTATTTGTATTAAATTTTCAATGATATAACTTGAAAAATTTGAGGAACTTCAATTGTTTTCAGTGAAAGAATCACTTCATTGCAAGTATGACGGATGTCGAATGTAAAATGGTATAGCAACATTTCAATCTTTGATTAAACAAGGTGAAAAATATGTCGTATCAGCTCAAATATTCATCCTTTAGTACCAAAAAAAACATGAATAATTAAATTCTTAATGTTTTGTAAATAAAAGAAAATTTTATTTATGTATTGTAATTTAAGTTCTTAAATACATTATATATGTGATTTTTTCTTGGAAAAATTACTTATATACACATCATTAGTTTACTTATTTTCTATTATTCCCTTCTTTTTTTAAATATTACTAAAATCCCTTTATTTACTCCTTAAATCAAACTCCCGGATACATAACTCCATATCTCCTAACCCACGTTTCTCTCCCCAATTTCTCTCTCCTGAAATCACGCCATATTTTCTCCCATGATCTTATCATTCTAATTTTGAATTTGAATTTCAAGATATTTCTCTCTCCAGTCAAAGGATTTCTCATTCCTTCTAGGTATTGTTTCAATTTCATTACTTTCGCTCATAGTTGTTAGTTTTTTTTTAAATTCAAAATTCTGATATATTTATGGAGGATCCTCCTTCATTCAGTTTAGGTATTACCCAGATAATGCCATCCAACACTAATCATGTTTATGATAATGAAGATCTAAATTGGGCTGAGAATAGATCGAAAAAATTGCATGATCCCCTAGTCATGGCCAATATGAGTATCGAGAAGGTGAAGAAGGATGTGCCTTCTTCTTCAAAAGCAAAGATTGGAAAAATCCCTAAAAAAAGGGATAGAAAAGTATCATCCCCAATTTCTCGTTCGAATCTACTCGAGGTAATGAGTTCTTATCTATTTATGCATTTTTTTGTTGCTTAATCTTTGAATCAATTAGTGATTTAAATTTATGAACATTATTGAGAGATTAATGCTATCATATTGTGATGTATCAACGTGCAATTTAAATTTTGATTCAAAACCCTTTCTTTTAACTGACACAAAATTTTGTCAATTTTTCTTCTCAATGTATCAAGTTATAAATATATTTGTAATAGGTTGGATTATGTATCACTCTCAATTAATGACATACATTGTGTTGTAATATGTTTATTTAAGTATCAATCTTGACTTATCATATATAATACATAAATGACATTATTAAGGTTATTGTATATTATATACAAACATTAATATTATGTATCAGATATAAATATAACAATCATTATAAGTTCAACTGTATATTATTCAGCATGTATCATGTTTATATTATTTCATGTCTTTAACTGTTGTTCATTTGTCTCATTATAGTTTGTGAAATACAAGATAAAACAAATTCCTACACAATTTTTGAGGTTTGGTTCAATATACAACACAATGTTTATTGGAACCAAAGCACCCTTTTCTTGTTGAATATGTACAAGACATTATTCATCAAGGAAGCGACACAATGTAAGTTTTATAAAGTTTTGTTTTAAAGTATATGTTCAATTCGTTTTTTTAATGTATCTTCTGCATTTGTAGGGATTGTGGATTGTTTGTGGCCGCGTTTGCTGAATTTCTTACCGATGAAATCCCAATACAATCCAATGCTTTCTGATTTGATTATCACCGCACAAGATACGCAGCCTTGCTATGAAAGTACGACAGTAAAAAAATCGAAGCAAGATATGTTAGTCATGATAATGACGATCTATCAAAGCCTAAGCGTTATTTCACACCACCGGATCATAATGCCTTAGTTAATCTGGAATAGTTATTGTGTATCAATGGATACACAATGTTTTTTAGTTAGTACTCTTTTCAAGATACATTAATTTAAGTGTTGGAGTGTTTCTCCAAAAACTTGTTTTGTTTGACTTTTAATGTCAATATATTTTGTTCCTTTAATCTCAGAATGTATATTGGTCTTCATTTACAAATTTCTATAATTAAACAGTGTAATTAAATCAGCATCAATCAGAAATGCACATAAATTTGATTTAAACTTTTATTTCCTAACAGTAACAATTCAATATATTGTGTCAAAAAACATATAAAACCACAATACATTGAAATGTATATTACGGTTATAATGGAAAACTTATTGAATTGAAAATTATAAAAGTGAAACAAAATTGTATTCTAAAAAAGTCTATTAAAAAAGTTGTAATCAATAGATATATTTTGTTCATTTAATGTTTATAACACAATTTTTTAATAATGTATATGATACAATAGTTGTAATAAATAATAATATATATGATACATATTTTCATAATTATTGTGACAAATACAGTGGTGAGTAACTTAATGGTATAATTTATGTATCATATAAGTACTCAGATACAATAACTTATTTAAAATAGATAGGTTATTTATGATTTAATGAATATGCTACATTAATTGTTATGTATATGATACATTACACATAGTCTACATAATTCATTAGATTTTCCACATAATGTATATGATACAAACAGACCTAAATATTTGTATATCGGAGATAACATTTGCACACAAATCATAACAATTTATTGAATTGAACAATATAAGTCATAAATAAATGTATCAAAATAACATTAAACACAAAAATCATAACAAATTCTTAAATGTATCAGCAAAGCTCATAAATATTGAATCAAATAACCAAAATTAACAGTAAACTTTATTCATGATAAAAATAAAAGTGATAATGGATTAATTCAAAAATTATTCAACAAAAACATGAATGTCTTATAAAAATAACACTTTCACTTTTCTCTTGGGAAGAAAGTACAAGTTCTTTTGTTGTGACCTTCTTGTCCACAACGTCCACAACAGTTCATGTTTACTGTTATCTTTTCATCTGCATTTTTTTTCTTCTTTTCCTTGATCTTCCAGCCAATCTTTTGTATCTGGGTGGCCACACAGTTTCATCTATAACATTGCTAGGAACCGACCAATCTTCCTTATCTGGCATTGGAACCATTTGAACCTTATGTTTTTCTAATGCATCAGGCTTGTAGTAATCAAAGCAATAAAGATGCATATCTGTGACATTTTTGTCCTTTAAAACAACAATTTAATGTGTGCAAGGTATCTCATCTAGTTGAAATCTACCACAAGTACATTCTTTCCTCTCAAGACAAAGAATGTATCTTCTTCCAGCTTCATAAATCGAGAAAATAAATTATGATATGGATCAACCTGTGGACATTTAAAAGTAAGCGATAAATTTATTTCAAGAAATGGTGATCAAAACAGCCAAATGATATACCAAATTAGATACAAAAGAAAAAATTATGTATCATGATACATACCTTCATCTTCGAATGTTCCATCAAAGCTATGTATCTCACCACCAATTTTATCTGTTTTATCAATACATAATGGATACATTGCAAAATCAGGCTCATTTTTTTCACTTTTAAATATAGTCTAACACCCATGTCGTTCTTAATGTTCATCAGAGATGAATTACCTTTTATGATGTATCGAATTTCAATGTTTTTTCTTACCTCATTGATCTCTAACTCGACTGAAATGGCTGCTTTGAGATTCAAAAATGAAATTGATTGTCCAACAACAATTCCATTACTTTTGTACCCTTCATAATTAACTTCGCTCGCCCAAATTCCTGAATGCCTCAACAAAATAGATATATTCATCATGTATCGAGTTTCTTTTTGAAATTATGAATTTTTCAACCGGGTGTTCAAAAATCGCCTTCAATGAAGAAGATGAAATTTTGAAATTTGAAATCGTGAAACTGTCTCCTATTAGGATATGGAATGATTATGATCAGTTAGGCGTTAATCTAGGAAATTAATATAACAATAATAAATTTTACATTATTTGTTCCTTTTTTAGCACAACAACATTCTGTTACAATGTATCTTTTATAATGTATCTGCATGGATACCTATGTATCCGGCTGCATCAATTTTCAAGGGATTTTTGTAATATTGGAATTATTAGGGAGAGAATATAATTTAGATCTTAGACTATGAGATTCCTTTAATTTTTACTTTTTTCTTTAATAAATCAAGGAAGGTTGTACAAAGAAAATTGAAAAACTACCCCTATGAAGTTTATTAGAATTTAATTTATTTGATATAAAATTCTTTTTAAAAAGTTGATAATAAATAATTTTATTTAAAAAAAAAATACAATTAAATTGAAAAAAAGTGAAAATGCTTATTTATTTTCAATTTTTTTTCTAGATGAGGAAACAAAAACATGCTTTTAATTTGAAACAAATACGTTCTTATAAAATATAAATAATTCAATAACCAGCTCATAAGAATATAATATAAAATTTATAATTTGTTGAAAATAAATTACTAGCTTTGTGCGTGCATTGCACGTGTGTTCCATATAATATATTTTGTTTATACATTTATAAAATCACAAATGGCTAATTCGAGCCCCAATAAAAAAACTTACGACAATTAAACAATTATAAAAGAAAACACGTGAATATTTAAGTTCATATATTTTATAAATAAAAGAACAGTATATTTATGTATTGCAATTCAAGTTCTTAAATACATTATGTATATGATTTTTTCTTCGATAAATAAAGAAATGTTGTATAAAAAAATTTGAAAAACTGCACCTATTAAGGTTTTTAGTATTTAATTTATTCGGCATTAAATTCTTTTTAAAAAGCTGATAATATTTAATTTGATTTTACATAAAAATCTATTAAAATTGACAAAAAAAAAATGAACATGCTATTTTTTAATTATTTTTTTCAAATGAAAGAAACAAAACCATGCTTCTAATGTGACACAAATACATTTGTTTACAAAATAAAAAGAATTAAATAATAAATGACCAGCTTATAAGAATATATAAAATTTATAATTTACTCAATTTATAAGGTATTTTTTGTAATAAATAAATATTTAATGACTATATAACAAAGCTAGTAAACAGTATGTTATATTTATTTTATAGTCAAATATATGTATTTACTCTCTTTTTCTCCGTTGTAAATACTATAGGAACCAAATAATTACGCAAGTTACTGTTTTATTTCATCAAACAACTAGATAGAAATTATAACTTACACAATTCATCAAAATAAAAAACGTAAGAATTCAATTTTTACTTTTTTCTTCTCTTTACTAATGTAAAAAAAATACTATAAATTGATTAACATAGCTTCATGCTAATAAAATACTTCTTAGTTGATATTCATCCTTAGAATAATGCCAACAAGGATCACAAAGAACATTTTCATTGACTAAAGATCTTGACGTCAGGGATAAAAGTAGAAAATAGGACTTCTAATATATGGAACTGACACAAATCGGGTGATGAATGGATGAAAAATAACTAGCGTATTTTCATCACTATGTGAAATAACACACGGGGTGAAAGAGACAAGACGATAAAATAAAAAATAAAAATTCTAGACATGTGTGTTCTATAATAATTTTTTATGGAGTTATAAAGTCACATATAGCTGATTTGAGACCAAATAAAAAAAATTACGACTATCATATAATTATAAAAAGAATTAAATTAAAAAAGTGTATAGTTTGTCGTTTGATTGATTTGTTTTTTTTAAGACTTAAAAAGTGAAATTTTTTGTTTTGTTTTTTTATTTGAGTTTGAGCTCTCTTTAATGGTGTATAACAAAATTTTTGTTTTTCTGTCAATAATTTATTAATTTTCTGTTTGCCATAATCTAATGATAAGATTATCTAGTAGTAGTTGATTATTTTAGTTATTTTGCATTAAAAATAACTTTACAAATTTTTTATGAAGATATATACGGATAAAAATGATTTAAATAAGTATATATATATATATATATATATATATATATATATATTCTGAACACGTGCAACTGTGTTCTATATCATTTTTTTAAATAGATTTATAAAGCTACAAAAAGCTAATTTGAGCTCAAATAAAAAAACTTATGATTATTAGATAATTATAAAAATTTAAATTAAAGATGTCGATAGTTGTTTGTCATTTGCTTGATTTTCTGCTTAAAACTTAAAAGTAAAATAAATTGTTTTGCTTTTTGATTTGAGTTTGAACTCTCTTTAATAGCGTGTGTGATAAAAAAATTGTTTATTGGTCAACAATTTATTAATTTCTTGTTTGATATAATTTAATGATGAGATTATCTAGTAGTTGTTGATTCTTTTTAGCTAATCTGAATTAAAAAAAATTTTACAAAATGTTTATAATGATATATACAGATAAGAACTATTTAAATAAGTGTGTGTATATATATATATATATATATATATATATATATAACTAGTTTCTGAAAATGTGTGTTGCACTTGTGTTTTATATCGATTTTTTTTTAGATTTATAAAATCACAAATAGCTAATTTGAGTCCAAATAAACAAAACTTACGACTATTACATAATTATAAAAAATCAAATTCAAGAAGTCTATAGTTGTTTGTCATTTGCTTGATTTTGCTTAAGACTTAAAAGCCAAAGCTTTTGTTTTGATTCTTGTTTTGAATTTGAGCTCTCTTTAATAGTGTGTAACAGAATTTTGTTTACTCATCAACAATTTATAAATTTTATGTTTGACATAATCTAATGATGAGATTTTTTAGGTAGTTGATTCTTTTCAGTAATTCTGCATTAAAAATATCTTTACAAAACGTTTATAAATATATACAGATAAAAATGATTTTTTTAATATATATATATATATATAAAAAAAAAAAAAAACTAGTTTATGGACACATATATTACACGTGGGTTTTATATCATTTTTTTTATATAGATTAATAAAGTTACAAATAGCTCATTTGAACCCCAGTAGAAAAAAATTACGACTATCAGATAATTATAAAAATTCAAATTATAGAAATCTATAATTGTTTGTCATTTGCTTTATTTTTAGCTTAAGAATTGAAGTGAAAACTTCTGCTTTGCTTTTTTGCTTTGAGTTTGAGCTCTCTTTAGTAGTGTGTGTAACAAAAAATTTGTTTATTTGTCAGCAAATTATTAATTTTCTTATTGACAAAATCATTGATGAGATTATCTAGTAGTAGTTGATTCTTTTTAGTTATTCTACATTAAAAATATATTTACAAAACACTTATAAAGATATATACAGATAAAAATGATTTAAATAAGTCTCTCTATATATAAGGATAAAATTGAATTTTATACCTAAACTATTGAGAGTGTGAGTTTCATATCTAAACTATCACTTATTAGTTTGAGAAACATATTTTTCTCTTTTATAACAGTCTCATCATGGTGTGTGTAATACACTCTCTCTTTGACTTAAAAAAATTGTCACATCCATTCAACATGGACAAAACTTTTTATCTTGGCAAAAATTAAATAAATTAAGTATTAGTTAAAATTACAGATTAAAAAATTATTATCCCAAAAAAAATATTTTTTTAAAAAATAAAATGTTAAATATTTTTTTCTTACCCCACTTCATTACTTTCTCTCACCGTAATCCCCCCCCCCCCCCCCCCCCCTTCATTTTTTTTGTTTTTTTTTTAGTTTAAATTTCTTTTATAAAAGTATGTAATTTTTTCTTACTTCATCTTTCCCCCCTCCCCCCCCTGTGCCCTTTCATATATTAATTTAGGTATTATTTTATTTTATTTTAAAAAAAATTCTACTCACTCCACGTAACTCTCCTCTTTTAATTTTTTTTCTTGATTTGTGTTAGATATATATATATATATATATCGAAAATATGTTTTGCTTGCCTCCGCAAGACTTTTTTAAAAAATAAATTTTTATATGTTATATTTGATACACGAAAAAAAAATTCTAAAAATATATGTACATATCTAACACAAAATGAGAACAATGTAAAAAATAAAAAAATTAGGCGGAGGGTTAAATAGAATGGAGTAAAAATATTATTTTGGTGAATGAATGGGTGGTTTGTGAAATGTTATGTGCCAAGGTTTATTCAAATAAAAGAGATAGTGTATTACACACATCACTGAGGTGTGTTTCTCAAACAAATAAGTGCTTAGCTAGTTTAACACTCTCAATAATTTAGGTATGAAACTAAAAAACGAGTGGATAGTTTAGGTGTATTTTTGACACTTATCTCTTTAAAAAATGAGTCAATTGTTAGGATCCTTAACTTAATATTTACTTAATTAGATAATTTTATATCATTTTTGATTTATTATAAGGGTAAAATAGTAATCTAACTTTCGTCTAACATTTTACCACTTTTGATTACATATGATATGATAGTATGATGATTAGATGAGAAAATATTCATGTGTAATGGTATGTCATGCATCTATTAGTCCAATGTAAATATTTAGCTAGTACGGACAAACTTTTACCTCTTAAAAGATTTAATCCCCAATTTCTACTCATATATCTTAAGATTGAGTTGGCAAATTAGAGGTGAAACTATATTTCTCATACAATTAACCCCCTTATTCTTAGCTTGTATTTGAACATGTGATAAAATGTCTTGATTTCAAATTAATATTTGGACAAGCGATTTGAGATCAAATCTTACAAAAGAAGTTTGATTTAAAATTTCAAATCATGATTTCATTTTTTATAAACTGCAACGGTACTTGGCATATAAGTTTATAATTTACAAACCATCATTGAATTTAGCAAGAAGAGACTCATGCTCAGTGTGAAGAGATTATTTATACCATGCGAAAGTATGTTATTA